GAAGAGCTATGATATTAGTGATAACTGGAGTGATCTTGAAGAGGCTTATGTACGAAACATACAATAGCAACTGAGTGAATGAATAAGTAAGTAACCATTTAGCTGCACGAACTACCGAAATACATGAAAGATGTCTCGATTAAAACGCGTTAATCAATGGTTAATGTTCGCTAAACAATGGCATCTGATCGATGCCACTGGGCAGGTAATATATCTTTCATTATTAGCAGCGTTCAGAGTATAATAGATTGTAAATTATAGGATGCATATAAACTCGGAACGAAAATATCGTCGTATTTATCGGGTCAGTATAAACCGATATATCATCCAGAAACGGATTGCGGTGATCATGTGGTTGTGATTAATTGTAAGGATGTGGCGATGCACGGCTTTGATTGGAAACACACGTTTTATCATTTTAATAAGGTTGTTTTTAGTTGAGTTGATTTGTTGAGTGATATGGATTGTTTGTTGAAGGAGTATCCCAGATCGAAGGCGTTAATCAGTGCATGGCAAATTCACGAGTATGATCCGTGTAGGATTGTGTTCTTGGCTGTTTACAAGTGTTTGGGAAAGAATGTGGTGCGAAGAAGACATATACAACGACTACACCTGTTCGCTAATGAAGCGATGCCTGAGTTCATTCGGAAAAACATTGGTGATCAGGTTTGTTTCATTGTTACTCTTGACTGGAAATAAACAAGTGAAATTTAGTTGGAACAAGTGCAGTCAATCGCGAAACGATCTGATGAATACACCGATGAAGAACGACGTTCATTCCCTCGACTGTTCAAATTCGACAACGACCATCTATTGGACTGGAACAAACCTACCGAAAGTCCTGCACGATATTCGAAAGACACCAATAAAACGTAATCGTGTTGTGTTTTTGTATGTTGTCGATATTGCAGGTTGATTTGATTGTTCCTTGATAAATATTTGATAGTTCGTTTTGTCTGCTTATGAATTACCCTTATGGTTCTTCAATTCCGATAATTATCTCATTCTTTTGAATGTCCCGAACAGACGTTAAGGGCATGCAAATGTCTCTGAAGATGTGTTTATTTATTGGATAATATTTTATTTTAGTTATTGTTTATTTTAGTTATTGATAATATTCATTGGATGGTTTAGTT